TGGGCTAGAGAAAAATCCAAATTAACCAAGTTTTGAAAGGAGGCTTTAAAATGGGAAGGGTCCAAATTAACCAAAAATGGGCTAGAGTGGTCTTTGGACACAAAGCCTAATCCCATTAGGAAAGCCCAACCAAGTCCTAATCAAAACATTATTAACTTCCTAATCCATAATTAAGCAAGTTTATCCATAAAAACAAAGTGGCCACGTGTCACGCGGCAAAGATTATGGTGAGGGGGAAGGGGCAAATAATTCATTCAGCTCAGTGATGTTATCAGTCCCAATAGCCATTTTTGTCTTCTTTTTCTTCTCTCTCTGTCAGGAGTCATCTATCCCTCTCTTTCTTTCGATAGAGGCCCTCCCTGCTGGAACCCTAACCCTCAAATCTCTCGGCAAAACCCCGACTTTCTCGGAGAATCACGGAGGAAATGCAGCACCAGAGGCTGAAGCAGCAGCAGCAACAAGCTCTGATGCAGCAGGCTCTTCTCCAGCAGCATTCTCTCTACCACCCTGGCCTCTTAGCTCCTCCTCAGGTTCGACCTTTCTTTCTCTGTCTTGCTGCTCCAATTTCCCGCCCTCCGGCCTCGATTCTGTTTTCGGGTTCGATTTTGGTTTTGGTCTTCCGTCTCCGATTGTCTTTGTGTGTGATTGCAGTACGGAAGCTAGGGTTAGTTGAGTTCCTCTTCCTTCTCGTGTTTCGGAAGTACCGATTCCGAAAGAAGGGGCTTTCGGGAAATCTCCTTTTGTGGGAAAGTTTTGAATTTTGGTTTTTGATTGCTTCTCGGTAGTGAAAAATGAGCTCGGGGCTGTTACTTTTTGGGTTTTCTCTCATTCGTGTTTTGTTTCGGAGCTGAGCGGAGCTCGATTCTCGCAGATTCTGCGATTTGGTGTTGAATAAGATAAAATAAAATAGTTTTTCGTTTTGTTTTTTTTCAGAATTCTGAAATGGGGAAGAACTGTTTGCATCTTGACACTTTTTGTTATCTTTTTGTCGTAGTGGAATGGTATGTAAAATAGAAAAAGGAGACTCTATTAGCGGTTTTATTACTTTGTGGTTTTTCGAATTGTTTTTTTCGTGCATTGGTGCTTTGGTTGGTGGTGATTTCCAAGCCTCCAGTAAGTTGCGGATAACAGTTATCGGTATAGAAGTAAACCAAATACTCATTTGGCCCTGTCTTAGAATTATGATAAAGTTAACAGGAGTCGCACTTTAGGTTATCTTTAGTTCCCTTCCCACCATGTGTTTGTCTTGCATAAGCATTTTTTCCCAGATGGACCACTAGTACTTTAGTTTGTCGTTGTTGGGTTCCGGTGCAAATGATTTTGCTGTTAGGTTGAAGTACTCGTGATCTTGTTGATAAATAAGCAAGGGAATTAGTTTCTTTTGGTTTAGGTTTATTTTATTTTTTGCTTCTGGCTTTTTAGGTTCCTTTATTTTCTTTTCTTTTTCACATTTTTATTTTGCAGATAGAGCCAATCCCAAGTGGAAATCTGCCTCCTGGTTTTGATCCAAGTACTTGCCGCAGTGTGTGAGTGTTTGTCTAGACATTTTTTCTTTCTTTTTATTTTGCGTTTTTATTTGTTTCACCTCTATGCTTATGTAATTATTTTGTTTCTCTGCATTATCGTACCCTTGGTCGATGACTTAATATTATTATCTTCACTGAATAGCTTTATTATAAGTTTATCTTTTCCACGGTTGCTTTGCATTTGGCCATGCTATATCTTACTAAAGTAATAAAAAAATTCAAGTATCTGAAATTACCCATCCTTCTCATAAAATAACCCTTTCACTCGCTATGTTTTCTGTTAAACTTTTGTTCACTTTGAAAAATTTCAGGTACGTGGGGAACATCCATACCCAGGTGACAGAACCACTTCTTCAAGAGGTTTTTGCAAGTACTGGTGCTGTTGAAAGTTGCAAACTTATAAGAAAGGAAAAGGTAAGTTTGCAACGGTGCACATATTCGTCTGCGGTTTTTTTATCCGTTCTCTGTTCAACAATCCTCTCGCCGTATGAAAATTTCTGGACTCAACTAGTTTACTGTGAGCCTAACTCAATTCTACCATATGGTGATCATATAATTGATAATTTCTGTTTTTTTTTTGCCTTCTGCAGTCATCCTATGGGTTCATTCACTATTTTGATCGCAGATCAGCTGCTCTTGCAATAGTGTCTCTCAATGGCAGGCATCTGTAAGTACAAATATTAATTATGCTCCTTGCTAATTTTGTTTGCTTATATTTGTACTTTCTCTAAAATCTTTGATATGTGATCTTCAGGTTTGGGCAGCCTATCAAAGTAAATTGGGCATATGCTAGTGGTCAGAGGGAGGATACATCAGGTTGGTTTTCGTTTTTCTTTCTTTGAACCAATTTAAATGATGCTTTGGCATTTATCATTGAGGTTAGTTATAATACTGTCTTTCTGATGTGCAGGTCATTTCAACATTTTTGTCGGTGATCTCAGCCCTGAGGTTACTGATGCTACATTATTTGCATGCTTCTCTGTTTATAACAGTTGTTCGTAAGTGTCTTCTCGAGTGCTGGTATTCTTAGTTTCATATATTTTAATAAAACCTCTGATGACCAATAGTTAAGATGTGGAAGTCTTACGTTCATCTGCTAACATTTGTTAAGTTTACATTGTAATCCATTATGTGTTCTTTAGATGCCTAATTAGATTGTTTTGTTGGTTCTAGAGATGCAAGGGTTATGTGGGATCAGAAGACGGGGCGTTCAAGAGGCTTTGGGTTTGTCTCATTCCGAATCCAACAGGTAGTATTTTCGTGGAACATTTTACATTTTTTATCTTTCGGAATGTGTGGTGAATTCTTTTTTGTTAATAATCTATTGTGAGTCTGAATGGTAGTTTCTGATGGACTGGTAACTGAATGCAAGGGATTAGGATGAGTGAACTTAGGTAACGGCTTGATGTAATGACATCAAATTTTCTTCTAAAGAGTCAATAGTTTAGAGCCAGCCTCTGCCTTTATAAGTGTGTCGATTTGTAACTAAATTGATTCTCATCACTCTCACTTTTGTTTTCAGGATGCTCAAAATGCGATCAATGACTTAACTGGTAAGGATGATGTTCTTCTTCCTATTTAAAAATTATTGACAAGTTTGTTGAAAAAATGCATGTGGGGTAAGTACAATAGTTCTGGCTTCCCCTTTTGTATTCCTTCTCTCCATATTCTGAACTATCTTTTTGGCTGTGATATCCAGGTAAGTGGCTCGGCAGCAGACAGATACGTTGCAACTGGGCAACAAAAGGTGCTGCCGCCAATGAAGACAAGCAGAGTTCAGATGCTAAAAGTGTGGTGGAACTAACAAATGGCACATCAGGTGAGCTCACTGTGTTCAAACTTGTTTTTTCCCATTTCTAACACAAAAGAAGTTATGTCTAGTTTGACTGGAAAATGAGAGGAAAATAATTTGGTTTGTAGCAATTTCTTATACATTCTGTTTTGTGTAAAAAGATAGTCCTCTGCCCAGGACTCATATTCTGTTTTCATTGTGCAGAAGATGGAAAGGACACGGCAAACAGTGAGGCTCCGGAGAACAACCCTCAGTATACTACTGTTTACGTGGGCAATCTTGCTCCAGAGGCAAGAAATCCTCTCTCTCTCTCTCTCTCTCTATTGGACCGTGCAAACGTGTGCTGTCACACACATTACTTTCTGCTATGCCTTGGATATGAATTGATACACAAGTTTTTTTTGGCACAGAACTGAGTTTGAATTTTCTACTATGATTGCTTCTTAACTTGAGTTGGTGGTTTTTAATTTCTGGAAAGAGGAAAAGATGTGGAGAATAAAATGAATATCTTCACCACTTGGGGATCATAGAAATTCCAGTATCATTAAATTTTATTGGTCTTATTCTTACAGGTCAGTCAGCTTGATCTGCATCGCCATTTTCATGCTCTTGGTGTTGGAGTGATTGAGGAAGTTCGGCTGCAGCGTGACAAGGGCTTTGGTTTTGTGAGATTCAATACCCACTCTGAGGCAGCTCTGGCTATTCAAATGGGAAACACTCAGTCCATCTTGTGTGGTAGACAAATAAAGGTGTGCTTCTATGCTTACTACTAGAGCTGTTATAAATTTAAGTATTACCTTAACACCAAAAGTAGTGGACTGGATTGGTCGATCATCCTGGGACATCGCGTAGAGATCCATATGCATGTCTACTGTTCAAGTGTTTATTCTTTCTGTGACTCTGCATTGACTGTTGACTTTATTATGTAGTGTTCTTGGGGTAGCAAGCCTACTCCACCAGGAACAGTTTCAAACCCACTCCCTCCGCCAGTGGCAGCAGCACCTTTGCCGGGCCTCTCTGCAACCGACCTTTTGGCCTATGAACGGCAACTGGCAATGAGCAAGATGGGTGGTGTCCATTCCCTCATGCACCCTCAGGGACAGCATCCCCTTAAGCAGGCAGCATTGGGAATGGGCACAGCTGGAGCAAGCCAAGCTATATACGACGGTGGATTCCAGAATGTTGCTGCTGCCCAGCAGCTCATGTACTACCAGTAGTAATACATAAGGGTATCTGTTAAATGGCCCGACCTATATAATCTATTTCCTGCATTGTGCAGGTGTTATCTGAGTTATAAACCCCATTAGGAATCTTTTTCATTATTTCTCCCCCTTAAGCGGCGACGGTGAGGTTGTTACCGTACCCTGCCTTATGTGCTTGCTGTCTGTATGGGTATGTAACATGTATGATCTGTTTTCGACTGCGTTCTGATGAGTGGTTATTTATTAGAGGAAGTTGGGTTTTTCACACCTGTTCTCAGTCTCTTCATTTATCGTTTTGGCTACGAGCCTACCGTTGATTATAACAGTAAAATCGACACCCCTTGTTCGGTTGTTATTAGCCGAAAGCTATTTTCGAGTTGTGCAATATCGCTATTGGATTCACCGGTCACCTTCGCATACAAAACTCAGCATTTTCTACAAACTAAAGCGACAGAAACGGGGTTAGACGGAGTAGGCAGATCAACCAAAGGCATTTTGTATTAAACTACTTGTACCACGAAACAAAATCAAAACGTTCCGGGATCTGCAGGCTAGTGCCGGTGACAAGTCATTTACACCCTCTCGTGATATGCCACTATAACTCTGTAACTAATAGAGAGAACTTTTGGGTGAAGCTGATTCAGTCGGACTCCAACCTCGCAATGTAATTGTCATAGAACTTCCCTGCACGCTCGAGATCTCCAAGCTCAGTATAACAATCAGCAATCGCTCCATAAGCTTCTGTGTTTCCTGAGTCTTCTCCTTCTCGCTTGGAGATGTCCAACACCATAGAATGGCACTTAATAGCGTCTCGGTACTTGCCCAATCTTTGCAGTGAGGCTCCTGACAGAAGCAAATGGCAATTAATAAACAAAATCAGAACGGATTTCCAATATACAGGCCAGCTCAATTAGACAAACACAGTTGGAACTGCTGAACATCGTCGATACTGTCTTCTGAAGCTAAGAAATTAGGCTCATGGAACAAGGGGATCAGAAACGAACCTAAACCTCTTGCAGCCTTCTTTTCCTCAATTGGGTCCTTCATACTTTGGGCAAGCTCAAGAGCTGTCTTAAACTCATCTAGTGCTTTCTCCGTTTCTTGATTTCTCAAAAAATTCTTCCCAGCTTTCAGTCGAGAAATCAACTCGTGCTTCCTTGGCTCAACTATCACCTCACTCTCCGGTAGTATTTTTGCACCAATCGGTGAATAACTCAAACTAGGAGCATATGACTCGATCTTAGCTTGCCTCCTTAGAGATTGATTGATTTGACGCAACTGTTCATTCACTCGCTGTAATTCTCCTTTCCTTTGCCGAGCAACCAAGCCTATCATAGAAGCACTAAACTATCAACAAACTTCTCAACATGGCTATAGTATAAAGATAGTGTTGAAACAAATAAAATCAACAGAGAACTACTTAAAAAAGTTTCAAAAGCAAGCATGTAAACCCAATGGAACAGAATTAATGGTAATTTAAAAACCCAGTAAAATCGTACCACCAACAGTGGCCCCTACAAGGGCTACAAATAGCAGTATAGGCATGCTGAAACCCGAGTCGTCAGCCTCGCATGCTTCCGCCAAAGCTTCCAATGGTGTTGTCAACATTAAGGAATTGCCGAGAAGAAGTCCCATTGCTGGGAATCTCAACTTTACATCTCCCTGCACAAGTAATAATTTCCACATGAGAGTCACGAAAAAGCATTGTTGAATACAGATCAGCAGATCATACGGGATAGAAAGTAACAACGCAAAAAAATAGAAATTCGGACACATGCATATTCATGAAACTAGCCAAATTCAAAAATACTGTATATCCAATCCATTACATCCGACGATGCATTTGTCAATCTATGAAAATCAACCCACAGGGGGATTATATACACATGACTTGAACGAAGCACCACAATGCATATGCTCATCATGTTTTCGCCGAAACCTCCCAACAGAATACGATTTCGTGTTGTCAGCTTGAACACCATCATATATAATATTGCCTTTACTCAAGTTACAAAGTAGGCAAGGTGACGAATATGAAAAACCCGAATCAACCAAAAGAATGCACAAACAAATCAGAAACATCTGGTGCAGGAACTCACCGTCATACCTGACATTTTGATTTTGGCAACATATGGTGGATCTCATACACTCCATCTACAGCATTTCCAAATGATGAAACAAGCTTTTCGACTCTAAACGGATGAGAAGGTAACTTCCCGGGTTCTAACAATGAAAAACACTTTTATGTCTGTTTGGATCAAAACTTGAACTTTAGGCTCAAGGAAGGAGCTGGCCCGAAAGGAGGCCCAAAGGGAAAGATAGCCAGAACCCAGTCAAAGCCCACAAGGCAGAAAGGGTCTTTTCTGACTTAGTGCAGCTCATGAAGACCACTTGCTTACCTACCCAAAGGCCAAGTGGTGTGGACTGATCAGCTACACAGCCCATAAAGCACTTTACGGTGGCATCACATGTAAAATAGTTGATGAGTCATCATCCTCACACCACATTCGGGCAAAGGCTGCTGCTACAGAAGACCAAGCCGAGTTGTCTATATAAGAAGAAAGAAAAACCAGGAATAAGGACACTCAATCAAACAAACAGATGCAAGCACAAACTTTGCTCAAAGCCAGATTTGCCTTCAAAACAAAGCTGTAGTCAGCCTTCATCCCTCTCGGGACAAGCCTTCATCCCTTTCGGGATAACCCTCTCTCCAACCCTTTGTAATAGCTCTGCTACCTTGTTCAACCTTGCTGTAGTATCGATTCATCTTTTGTAATCTCTCTCTCTCTCTATCCCTCTAAGCTTTCAGACCTTTGACAAAACTACAAAGATAGGAACCTGCAAGACGAGCAACCTTACCCGATAAGGTTTAACCTTGCCCGACCTTCTGTGCTTTGTTTTTGTCTTTTCAATATGTTGTATACTTCCAGTTATATGCAAGTTATTTCTAGCAATATGACTATTAAAAGGCTTTCTCAGTACTTGAATCCGATTTGAATATATCTTCAGTGTTCAAACTAGATCCAAGTCCTAAGCCCTCGGGCATGTAAATCTGATCAGTTAAAAGTCCTTGGCCTCAAGGCATAAAAAAGAACCTTATGTGGACTTAACCCATCCACGACAGTCCTTGATAAACGAGAAGTCCGAAGTTACTTGGGGCACAAGTAATCGACCTACCCTCTAGTTTTATTTCTATTATATCATGATTACCATAGAACGCTTGAGCATGGAATGGATTCTGATGGAAAGCCTCAAGGGCCTCAAGGCCTGCACCTAAGGCCCCACAAAGGCATCCATTTGGATTCATTCCGTTCTGCGATCTAAAGAGTCTAAGTATAAGAATGAACTCTGATGGGAAGCCTCAAGGCCTACACCTAAGGCCCCTCAAAGGCACCTATTTGGGTTCATTCTACTTCTTGGACTCGGGTAATCAGAAGTATAATAGTTAGAAAACTCCTGCAATCACGAGAACAAATATGATGTGTTCGAGCACTGGTTTAGTTATTTATGGGAAGCCTCAAGGCCTACACCTAAGGCCCCACAAAGGCACCTGTTATAACTAACACGGTTTCTTGGATACATACATATATACAACTAAAACGCGACATCCATTTTACATCTGCCATGCTAAAGATGGCAGTGGCACGCCTGAGCACCTAAATGTTAACCTTGATTGTGAGCCTCAAGGCCTACACCTAAGGCCCCACAAAGGCACCTCTCAAAGTTAACGCTGTCCTTCTCTTTCAGCCTTGCCCGACGAGCCTTGCCTGAAGAGTCTTGCCTGACGAGACTTGCCCGACAACGCCCGACAGTGAAGCAAAAGCCCGACAGCAGCCCTCAACCGGCGCCAACCTCCGGGGGAGCTGTGTGCTCGTCGGCCAGGAAACATCCCCGACGGAAATTCCTGACGCGAACATAGTTTTGGCACGCCTGGTGGGATCACAAACTTCTTAATCTTGCATGTCCAAAAAGAAAAGCCATCAACTTGGCAAAAAGAATCCGAAGGAAGGTCTTCTACAAATAGTAGATCAATCAGAAAACCCTTCCTCCCCATCAGGACAAGTGGTCCTAGAAAGCCCAACCGCATCTGAGAGATCGGAAGGAAAGGGAACTAATGAAGAACTACAGGCTACAATGATCCAAGTGCTAAAAAGCATGGAGAGAATCTCCTTGGAAACCAAGGAGAAGTGAGTAGGCTCTGTACACTAACGGGGAATCTACAGAGAAGACTTGATTTGGAGTTCTCTACTCCAAAAGGGGCTCAGGGAAGTGGGATGAGCCAAGTTGTTACGAGAAATGAACCAATCATTCCCTTATTCCCACTATTAGAAGAAGAAAAAGATAGGGGAAAGAAAAAGGTAGTTCCTGAAGGGAGTCAACCGGTGATGGAGCCAGTTCTGGAGAAGGAGCTTCCCAGCTTCCCATTATTATCATTCAATAATAGGAAGCCAAGCGAGCAAGAGAGAACGAGGTACGGAATGCCAGCTATGATGGGAGAGACCAGCGGAAATGAGGGTTCCACTACTTCAGATAAACCCCCACCTTATAGGCCACCCCCGTTGGTGAATAAAGGTGGAGGAACTAGTTGGAGGAAGCCCGAACCAAGGAGGGAAGCAAGTGCGGGCAACGACCAGAGCCCAAAAATCGAATCTACTCTCCTCGGGCATAATGATATTCTAGCTACTCAGCAACTGAGGGAGGAATTAGCTGAGTTGAGAAGGACGGTTGCTCAAAATGCTCAACCGCGAGCTCGCCCCGTGTTCAGGATCACTTTCCAAAAACCTTATCCTGAATATATTGACGAGCTAAATCCATTCCCTCTCAACTTCAAGATGGCCGCATTCCTAACATTCACGGGTGAAGACAGCAGTGTGTCCTCCAGGGACCACATTTTCAAATTCTCCAATCATTGTGCGGCATATGAGGACAACCCAAATTACAAATTGAGGTTGTTTGGGAATTCATTGGCAGGGTTAGCATCTCAGTGGTACTCTCTATTGCCCCCTAACTCTATCGCCAACTGGGGGCAAATGGAGATGGCTTTCCATGAACAGTTCTACAGAATAAAGCCAGAATTGACTATCAATGACCTTGTTGAAGTCAAACAATATGATCATGAGTCTACTGAGGACTTCATGATGAGGTTCAGGAGAATAAGGATGAGATGCCAATTTCCCGTCAACCAAGCGCAGCTCATATCGATTGCTCAAAGGGCTTTGAAATTACCTTTGAGGAAAAGATTTTATGATGCACAGTTTAATGAGCTGCAAGAATTGGTAATTGCTGCCACGAAGTATGAGAGGCTGTTGCAAGAAGAGCAACAAGTGAAGCACACTTCCAAAGTTCCTCCTTTCTACAAAAATAAGGCTGCAATTCATCGTGTGGAAGTGGGAGAAACCAGGCCAGAGCATGAGGGTGGCCGTGATGAATAGGACATGGACGTGTGTGCCGCTGAGATGACCACACCTTTCAAGCCATTGACGGTAAAGGGGCTAGTCCAACCTGTCAAGGATCAGAAGGTTGTAATGAACGATGGTGGTTTTGTCCCCATAAAACCACCCAAGTACCAGAGTTATTCGTTCGATCTATCCAAGGCACCTGAGATCTATGAAGAACTGGTACGGGCAAGAGTAATCTTGCCCGACAATGCCAAAAAAATGCCCAAGCCGGAAGAACTCAGGGGGAAAAAGTATTGTAAGGTGCACTATACCTTCAACCATTCCATAGTTAATTGTGTCCAGTTTAGAGATTGGATACAAGATCTTATAGTGAAGGGGAAGCTGTTACTTGACTCGCCCCAAGCCAGTATGATGGTAGATACTAACCCTTTCCCTGAGGCTCCTATCAATATGATCAACCTCATTTTACAAGAGCCAGGGTCACCATTTGGTACTGCAAGGAAAGAAAAGGGCCCAGGTTGTCCCAACACCTCTGCATGAATAAAGTGCCATGAAGGGGATCAAGGGACCAAGATCAGGTCCTAAGATTGGTGTTATCAGGGGAAGAAGAAGAAAGTAAATAAGGGGGGCAAAGAGCTGCCCAAAGTCAATTCAAAACAGTACCAAAGAGCAGAGCAGAAAGCAAATTACATATTCATTCCAATAAGAAAAGAGTTACAAATCATCCTATTCTAAAAAATTTACATCTTCACATAGGGTGATTATTCGAGAATGATATGTTTTCATAATGGCAAATATCCTACTGGGTTCGGCCAAAACAGTATGGTTATTTACAAGTTGAGACCGGGCACGCTCTAGCTCCGAATTTGACTTCTCCACTCCCTCAATTTGATTTTCAAGGGTATCTAGAAGAGTTGCTTGTTCTGCTTTAAGAGCAACCAATTGCTCCTCCAGCTGTTGGATTTTAGAAGTAACAACTCTGACCCTTTCTTTTGTCTGCAAGCTTTCTTCCATCAACCGATCAACTTGGGCAGAGGTGCTTGATTCTTTCTCCATGAAGCATTTTGCCCGATTAGCCTGTCTGTCCGCTCTCTGGTATTGTTCCCTAAGGGCTCTCAGGTTCTCAAAGAAAGATAGAAAAGAATCATGTTGAGGTTTTGATAGCCGACCGGCTTTGAAAGACTCGGTTATGATCTTTTCAAAATCACAAAGAGCCTTGAGGTTGAATGAAGCGGTGAAATCCTTCTTTGCCCATTCCTGAAGGACTCGCTGTTGCTCTGAAGAAATGGGGGTGGTTGAAGAATGTTTTGAAGATTTCAACCGTGTCTCAAGCCGTCCAAGTGCTTCAAAAAGTCTGGGCATCTTAGCAGGGTTTGGAGATGCGGAAGGAGGAGGATCCTGCACTGCAGCTTTCTCTAATGGAGGAATGCCCATTGAGGGGGCAATTTCTGCCTGCCCGATCTGCTCAATTCCAGAAGGGGGAATCACAGTACCTCCAGAGGATGAGTGAGGATGGGAGCACTTTGATTTACAGACCAAATGGGGAAGGGAAGTTTCTCTTGGAGCTTGCTGCAGAAAGCCAAAAGACCAGGTCAAGACAATTTGAATACAGTTTGAGGCAAAAGAGGATTTGGAGAGATGAAATGTACCTGACTCAGCCCCGGGGTTTCACCAGGAAGAGGACTAATTCCTGGTTGGCGGGAAAATTCCTCACCACCAGCAGGAGAGTGATGAGCTGCACCTGAACCTGTACCAGTGCCCTAGAGGTACCCAAAGATAGCAGTAATTGTCAGTAAATAGAGCATAAGAGAAAGAACAAGAAGAAAATACTCCCATACCTGAGTTTGGTCTTGAAGAGGAGAAAGAGGTTTATCAACTGTCGGGCAAGCAAATACCCGCGAAATTGCTACCTCTGAGGCTACAGGGATCTCAGGGACTATGGGTTCATTATCTGAAACCACTATTGTAGGAGGTGGCTCATATACCGGAGAAGGCTGTAGAGAACGTGAGTAAAAGTTAGTTGGGAAGCAATGTACAGAAGTTCAATATGGAATATGTGACTCACCAAGTTACTGTCCTCATCCACGAAGTGCAACATAACTCCTGTAGACGGATCGAATTGAGAAGAAGGGGTTGCGTCCAGAGCAGTAGAAGAAGTCATAGACCTCAGAGGAGGGCCATAACAAGGCAAGGAAGCAGATGCTCCAGCCTAAAAATATTCAGACATTAGGTCCAGAAGTTGGAAAGTTACCCAAGAATTAGAAGAGAAGAAAAAACACCTCTGAAGGGTCGACCTGGGAGGGAGATAGGCTTGTCTCTCGGGCAAATTGTGGAGAGGCTTCGGGCGGAGAGAGCTTTTCCTTTCTTACGGCCTGAGTCAAATAATCAGATTTGGAGTTATATGAGAGCAAGAAGAGGCCTAAAGAAAAATATATAAATCATACCTCAAGTTCTCTGAGGGCAGTATTTTGCAGTTCTTCGGCCTTTTTGAGCATTGCAGCTCTCAGTGGTTCCTCCTTAGAAGCAAGGATTGGTCTTTTAGATGCTTGGAGTCTTGATTCGCCGGTAAAGGAGACAATTAGATAAAGGAGAAAGGTAACAGTTTGATGAAGAAAAACAGAAACTCACTTGAGGATTGTTGCTTCTTTCTGCCTGCCTCAGGAACTAGAGCAGATGGGGCTGATGACTTAGGAGGAGCGGTAGTTCTTGCTCTCTTACTTTTTCTAGTAAGAGTTGGTCGTGTGGTTTTGGGTAGAGGTACGGGATGAGGATCTGAAGGCTTAATCACAGCCGCTTTCTTTCGCTTAGGTGCTTTAATAAGTACCTCGGGTGTTTCTTCAGCTCCTAAATCCCCAAAGGATTCTGAAACATCTGCACCCTCCCCAGCTTCTCGTCTCCCAGCCTCTGCGGCAGCTCCATGAAGAATTGCAGCATCAACAGAGTCATCCTCGGATTCAATGACTTCCGATTCAACATCCACTGGAGCTGCAGAATTAAGCAAAAGTAAGGATAGAAGGACTCCAGAAAGGAAGCAAAATCAGATTGAAAGAGAAGTACCTATCAGAAGTGACCGATTCTTCTCTTGGATCATCTCCTTCCAATTTTCAAGTTCGCCCGAGCCAGGGTATGACTTAAGTGAAAGTTGGTTGAAAAGGCGATCGTGAGTCTCTTTCAAATCTCCTCCATACTTCTTAGTCCATTTGTCTTCCCACCAAGAAGAGAAGAGCGAGGTGCACTCAAAATTGAGAATGATGGACTTTCAGGCCGCTTGACTCATTACGTCAAGACTGCGTCGGGCAGCTCGAAATGTCACTTCAGATGGAGTTGGTAACCGGAATGAAGTACCACAATGGACAGAGTCGAAGAACGGGACAGGAATGGCCTGTCTAAATCCTAACTGCCTGCTCCAGAAGTTAGGATGGTACACTTCCAAGCCTCGGTCATATCTATTGCCCCGAACTCCCCAGGCCAGGTCTCTCGGTTGAATGCAACTAATAAATTTCTCCCTGCAAAAGGGGGTAGCATCCTCGCCAGGGGCATCTTGAAAGACTTGGTCAGAAAACCAAGGATATCTTCTCAAGACCGACGCACCCCATTCTAAATCTGATCGAGTCCTACAAACTCTGAAGAAATAGAAGCAGGCAAAGGTAGAATGATCTATAGGGGCAGCTTCAGCCAGGATTCGGGCAGGGGCCACACCCTCCGGGAACTCCAGATTAGCAGCCCGAAATTCCGGAAAGTACCATTGAAGCCAAGTTTGTATCATCCATATAGGTCCATTCAAATTGGTCTCAAATGGCTCGCCTTGAGTCATTTCGAAAAGAAGATGATAAAGATGGGAAAGGAGGAATGGACTTGTAGCTACGTCATCAAAGTTGTGAAGAGCTTCTACTTGTTGAGCCAGTATAAGAGGAAATACATGTGCTCCTGATCTTTATCAACCCGAGGTGAGCCCACCCCAAAATTCTCCTTTACGAAGGGGATGAATCCTTTGAAGGAGGTCCCATAACTCTTGAAAGTTGAAGAGTTATAGTTCAAAGAGAGGAAGGCAGCCGATGAACTTGAGCTTCCAGTGGTAGAGGATGGAACCCAGTCTTGAGTAACGTCCACTATCCTGCCCGAGGGCCTTAAGCCGAAAACCTAAGCCATGTCAAGAATGGTGGGAGACATGGGGCCCATACGGAAGTCAAAAGTATTCGTGCCCGAATTCCAGAAAAGGAGGGCAGAAACAAGCAGTTCGGGCTTAGGAAGAATAGAGGTCTTCGAAAGCATGATTAACTCATAAATACCATTATTCATCCATTTCCTCTTAAAAGTAGGCTCTAAATCATCAATCCATTGAGCCCAGGCAGGATCGTTCATCAGAGGAAAGCCTCGACGATATGATGACCATTTGGAGGAAGAGATGCCCGACCTAGCCGAGTAGGGATTTGGGGAAAACCAGTTATCTCTAGGCATGTTGCTTTCCACCACTGAAGGGACCCGAGAAATCCAGGCGGGACCCAATGATTGTACCCCATGCACCTCAAAGAAAAGCTCGGAATGCAGACCTGCCCGAGGGCGATGCAGCCCATTGAGTAGACGACGCAGAGTGGCGATTCCTTCGCCAGATTCGTAAGAGGGTTGGGTTTGGCTTGATTCTGCAGTCATTTGAGGAAGTTCGAGAAGGGAATACCGAGGAAGATGACGAGGGCGAAACCTTAGAGAAGGATTTCTTGCTGTGAAACAGGGGATGAGGAGTTCAACCGAAGGAGTTCAACCGCAAGGGGTTTGTGGGTTTTATAAAGAGCCTTTTTCAATCAATATTGGCGCCTGGAATTCCAGGCTAAATATTAATTGAAGGGGGCACTGTTTGGATCAAAACTTGAACTTTGGGCTCAAGGAAGGAGCTGGCCCGAAAGGAGGCCTAAAGGGAAAGATAGCCAGAACCCAGTCAAAGCCCAGAAGGCAGAAAGGGTCTTTTCTGACTTAGTGCAGCTCATGAAGACCACTTGCTTACCTACCCAAAGGCCAAGTGGTGTGGACTGATCAGCTACACAGCCCATAAAGCACTTTACGGTGGCATCACATGTAAAATAGTTGATGAGTCATCATCCTCACACCACATTCGGGCAAAGGCTGCTGCTACAGAAGACCAAGCCGAGTTGTCTATATAAGAAGAAAGAAAAACCAGGAATAAGGACACTCAATCAAACAAACAGATGCAAGCACAAACTCTGCTCAAAGCCAGATTTACCTTCAAAACAAAGTTGTAGTCAGCCTTCATCCCTTTCGGGATAACCCTCTCTCCAACCCTTTGTAATAGCTCTGCTACCTTGTTCAACCTTGCTGTAGTATCGATTCATCTTTTGTAATCTCTCTCTCTCTCTATCCCTCTAAGCTTTCAGACCTTTGACAAAACTACAAAGATAGGAACCTGCAAGACGAGCAACCTTACCCGATAAGGTTTAACCTTGCCCGACCTTCTGTGCTTTGTTTTTGTCTTTTCAATATGTTGTATACTTCCAGTTATATGCAAGTTATTTCTAGCAATATGACTATTAAAAGGCTTTCTCAGTACTTGAATCCGATTTTGAATATATCTTCAGTGTTCAAACTAGATCCAAGTCCTAAGCCCTCGGGCATGTAAATCTGATCAGTTAAAAGTCCTTGGCCTCAAGGCATAAAAAAGAACCTTATGTGGACTTAACCCATCCACGACAGTCCTTGATAAACGAGAAGTCCGAAGTTACTTGGGGTACAAGTAATCGACCTACCCTCTAGTTTTATTTCTATTATATCATGATTACCATAGAACGCTTGAGCATGGAATGGATTCTGATGGAAAGCCTCAAGGGCCTCAAGGCCTACACCTAAGGCCCCACAAAGGCATCCATTTGGATTCATTCCGTTCTGCGATCTAAAGAGTCTAAGTATAAGAATGAACTCTGATGGGAAGCCTCAAGGCCTACACCTAAGGCCCCACAAAGGCACCTATTTGGGTTCATTCTACTTCTTGGACTCGGGTAATCAGAAGTATAATAGTTAGAAAACTCCTGCAATCACGAGAACAAATATGATGTGTTCGAGCACTGGTTTAGTTATTTATGGGAAGCCTCAAGGCCTACACCTAAGGCCCCACAAAGGCACCTGTTATATAACTAACACGGTTTCTTGGATACATACATATATACAACTAAAACGCGACATCCATTTTACATCTGCCATGCTAAAGATGGCAGTGGCACGCCTGAGCACCTAAATGTTAACCTTGATTGTGAGCCTCAAGGCCTACACCTAAGGCCCCACAAAGGCACCTCTCAAAGTTAACGCTGTCCTTCTCTTTCAGCCTTGCCCGACGAGCCTTGCCCGAAGAGTCTTGCCTGACGAGACTTGCCCGACAACGCCCGACAGTGAAGCAGAAGCCCGACAGCAGCCCTCAACCGGCGCCAACCTCCGGGGGAGCTGTGTGCTCGTCGGCCAGGAAACATCCCCGACGGAAATTCCTGACGCGAACAATGTCAATATGCAGATGAGTTTCAAATTAAGTAACACCAACCAATTCTTGCAACAAAATAATGTACTAACTACTAACCTACGATGCATGGACACGGACACAGAGATACGACACGACCCAAGATACCTCAAATTAACAAGAAGAATTGTTGTATGACCACAAGGGAATACCACATGACACGGGTATACACTGTTTATATCAATGTGCATATGAGTTTCGATTAATACAATCTTTTGGCTCTCTAAGGAAATGCAAGAAAATCACAAAATTCAATAACTTTGTCTCCTCACATTTCCACTCGTACATTTGATCATGCAAGCTTATTAATTCATTTCAATTTAGGGATTAAACAAATGGAAACTTTTCAAATTTTCTTTTCCTTGACTTTCTCAGTAACCAAACAGAAAGTAAAATTTCCCAAATTGGAAAACTCATGGTCACTTAGAAATTCGAAGTCACATTAGAAATTGAAAGCATTTCTACCAACCAGCTAACAAGTGAGCAAAAACAATGGGTGCAGGTGGAAGTACTGACCGGAAATATTGGGTTTGACGGAAATTTGATCGGACGGCAGAGATCGGCTGGAGTTCTTTGGGTGAGTGAAGAAGCAGCAAGAGAAACGGGGGCACCACTGCCATTAGGTTCGGATAAACGTTGGTGTGTTGTTTCCAGGGGGATTTTCGATGGACTTGGATTCTCTGCCCTCCCAATTTGGTGCCCTCTCCGTGCCCTCCTGTTTGTGTGGTCACGGTTAAGCCACGTCAATATTTTATATTACTATTTTTTTTTGTCTTATTATTTTTATAAAAAACAATATAAAATGTTAGCATGGATTAACCGTGACCACACAAAACAGGAGGGCACGAGGAGGGCACCGAAATGGGAGGGCAGAGAATCCAAGTCCATTTTCGATATAAGCAGTCAGAATCTGTCTATATAAAAAAAAATAGGAACTTTAACGAAATGCTCCCGGTACTTTAACGAAAAATCACATTCTTACACTAAAAAGACAATCTTGGTACTATTCACTTTACTCTTTATTTTGTCCTTATCATTTAAACTCAAAGTTTTCAAGTCATTTTCATTAGTTTTCTTTATAAAAAATGGTTTTATTTACATTACTGCCGTTGGTTATCCGACGCGAGCACAAAGGATTTTATTTTGGATATATTTGGTGGCGTAATGTCGGTTAATTGTTTAGAGTGTTCTTAGGGCTGGTTTGATATTATTGTATTTTGAAAAAAAAATTGTTTTTGGTGTGGTATGAAATAAGCTCATTTTTGCTGCTTCACGTTTTCAGTTTTTTTTTAACCCAAAATTGTGAAAATAAGCTTTTTTAAGTGTTTACCAAACATTTTTTTGAACTCATCTTTTTTTTATACCCACTTTTTATAAAAGCACCTCAATATTAAACCAGTACTTATTCCACGAGTGTTTCATCTCTCCGTCAAGTTTTTAATGAAAATTTTAATTATAAGTTTGTTTATTTGTAAAATGACCTGCAAGAACCTTACAAGATTTGTAATAATATTAATTTGGGCGTGAAAAGGTAACAAGGGTCCTAGATTTACATTGGGTTGTGAAAAAAATGGACAATATGTAAGTTGAATTTGGAAACAAAAACCATAAAAAAATGAGGATAGAAGGAATTCTGAAACGAAAAAGTATGGATGCCATTTTAAATTAAAGGTAATAAGGTAGCAACTTATGATGATTGATTTTGGTGGTAGTTATTGAAGTGCATAATCACACAGCATAACAACATTTGAAGGTTTATTCATTTGTTGTAAATTATTGTCGGAAGAGACTTCGTTGTTGAGGAAATAATATTTCAATCTGAAGGAGTAATAGTATGTGGGAAATAGCATAGTAGAGATTATTTCAGAAATAATAGTGGATGAAAAAATAACATTTAATTTTTAAAATTTTTATGGTAGGCGAGATTATAATATGAGTGGGAAAATAAGACTTTGGATTGGTCTACCAACTTAATTGTTTTTTCTTTCTTTTACTTGACATGAAACGTCCATTACACCCTCTGTAGCTAGTAGAAACCCTATTATTTTTTGGAAAAGAAGTTTCAAAATTTCATTTCACAGCTAAAAGGCAACTCATTTAGAAAGTAGGAAGGCTCTCCTCATAAATTACATCACAAATAAAATCGAGAGGTTCCTCGAACATCTGAATAACGGAGAGCAAGGCGTGGATGGTGATAGGTAGCCTCATAGCTTGGCTGCGGACATGGGAAGAAGAAGCTTCAATTTTAACTAACAACAAGAGATACAAGGATTTGGCTTCAAACCTAAGGAGGGAAGGAAAGAGGCATGGGAAATCTCCGGCCACCATATTAGAGCACGAGATACAATTTGATCGGATAATACATTGGAACCGGAGCATAGTTTTAAATTCCCGGCGTTCAATATTGCCAACAAAATCATCATGAAGCCTTCAAACTCATATTTTTTCAGTCTCTAGTTTGGTTCAAGGATCCATAGATAAAAGGATTTGGCTTGAAGAATAGTGCGGGGATGCTCGGATTAGATGATATCATAGTTGGGGTTTCATCATAAAATTAATTGGCAATATGAGAAACAGTCAAATTACTTATAAGCACATGTAAAGCCCATTTTTTTCATTGATGTTCACTCTTAACATAGCTTCTCACTTGTGGCGAATTTTCAAGCCTAACACATAAACAACACAAATTAGGTGATGTAGAGCACGTGTGGCGGTTAGCTTCACACTGAGACAATTTGTTCTGATACCATGAAGAAAGTTGAGATTACACCATAAAATTGATTGGCAATACGGGTAGACCAATTGATTGTAAGCACATGCAAGATCCATTATTTTCTCGATGTGAGATTTTAATTTTTTTTTTAACTGCTCTAATGAGCATCGTTCATAATTTCGTGGGCTTTATATTGGTGCACTCGGTAAAAGCCCAAACGGCGTTGTCGTCCGATCGCCATCCATGTCTCTCTCTCTCTCTCTCTCTCTCTCTCTCTCTATCCCCGAAGCGGACGAAGGGTTTTAACTAATTAAACCCACACACCCTCCTTCGGATTCCCGCGCTTTGAGCTCCTCTAGGGTTTAAGCTTGGCTCCTTCAGAAGCCACTGCGAACCCTAGAGTTTTGAATGCGACGTCGTTTTGGCGCAGATGGACGTATGGACGCTTCTCCAAGCTTCTTCGACCCCGAAGACCTCACAATCAGAGAGAAGTTTCGTCGA